GTACTAGTACTCATAACACAAGCTCTGCTTACCGTGGGACTAGATGGCGCTGTGTTAATTCACAGGGGTTATGTATGTATGTATTTGTTGTTGTTGTTGTACTTTTTGCGGATACAAACCCCTTAGAACCACACAAAAATTTACTTGTAATTGCACAATTAGTGTGGATACAACGATTATTCTTAGAAAGTATGTCCCAATACTTTCCAACGTCATTACTGAAGACAATGGTATTCAGGAGCGGGTGGTATTCACTTAATATCAGGTGAGATTGCGGTCAAAAGCGCTCAAATTTTAGTATAATTAAAAAAAAAATGTACGAGTACACAGGATGACAAAAACATTCTACATTTAGTCGCAAAAGTTAATATATAAGCGTATCAATTAGAATTAAATTATTAAGAGGATTAAATTTTGTCAGTCGATTGTCAGAACGTAATTGATTTATTTATATAGTCAATAACAACAATAATAATATAGATAGATTATATTCATTACTATTGTATATATTCAATAGACATTGCATACTAAGTTTTTGAATTGGTAACAATTTAAAAAAAATAAGAATCAGAAAAATAATGATACATACATACAAAATTATATACATAATCATGGTCAAATACATAATCAAAATTATATACACATCATTTTTACTGTCTACTGACTAATTTAAGTTTATTCTATAAATACGTAGACACAGCTCAAATTGTCATTTTTTTTATGTTACAAAACATTGACTATCGAAAAAATTAAAACCTACTACAAAATCTCGGTATTGGTTCTGTCTGGGTGTTTTCTATGATAATATATTTACGAAAAAAAAATATAAACCCATAGTACCCATAACATAAGCTTTAGCTAGCTTAACTTGGTACTAGATGGCGCTGTGTGAATTGTCCTGAGATTATTAATTTTATTTATTAATTATATATTCCGCTAATATTTTTAATATTCCGCTAACAGTCGCACCACACCCATGCAAGTAAGCGGTTGCTTCAAAGGCGAGAGCTACATACCGAATGTTTATTTCCAATCGCTCGATATAAATATCTCTCACTTAATGATCGTAAATATAGTAATTAAAGTGACATAATAATTATGCCAGTTATAATCACTATTGATTAATTATCAAGACATAACGCAATTCTTTGTGGCTATCTCCGGTTCCAGATAAAACGGAGAAAAACTGGAGATTTTATAAACTGATATAACTCTGAGCGTCTCCATGCTGCCTTACTTTTGATGCCTACTGTCCTTGCACGGTACAAACATTGATTTTTGATTTGGTCTTATTGTTTTGTATGTGTATTATGTATATACTGATCCGCGAAACTTCGTCTGCATCACATTTATCATTATATATCGTCCAATTTACATAATATCTCTTTAAATTTAGCCTATGTGTTATTCTGATTTATAAGCTGTACGGTTTAATCAACATCCGTTCAGTAGTTTGTGCGTGAAAGAGAAACAAACATCCATCCATACTCACAAACTTTCGCGTTTATAATATTAGTATATAATTCGTAAGATTTACAAAAAATCTGCATTTGAGTATAGTAATTTGTTTAGTACTCATAAAACAGCATCGCTTAGCTTGGATCTAGATGGCGTTGTGTGGATTGTAAGGGTTGTTATTATTATTATTATTATATACGCATATATAACCATATAGACATAGTGTTAAACCTTCAAATGTAACTACTTAGTCTCTAAATATTCAGCTTTTAAAGGACTTTTTAAAATTAAATTAATATTTTATTTTTAAACTTTCTTGTTTAATATACATTATTTATATTATTAACCGGATAGTTTATGGATGATTAAATCCATTTAAAAAAAAATGAAATATGGGGATAGGGCATAGTTAACAATGTCAGATCGACCACTACATGGTCGCCGCTGGAAACTGTCGTGGTTAATTGGACGTATTAATTTATATTATTAACCAGGTCTTAACACGAACTGATTTTATGGCAAATAAAGGTATAGTCAATAAGTGTACGGATACCGTGAGTGCTGTGTGTCGCGAACTTTTGTTGAACAATCTAGTGACGGTAGATGAAAAAACTGCTGTCACCTATCTACATTGACATCGCTGTTACTCCAGTCAGCTCGTGACCACGGCTAGTGCAATCTAGTCGAAACGTCGAAACAGGTAAATACCTTTATTTGCCATAAAATTAGTTCGTGTTAAAACCCGATTAATAATATCTTCTTTTTCTTCATCCTCGCCTCTTCCCGTTACTCGGGGTCGGCTTTTCTAATACTGGGGCGCCGTACATTTCGCTGGTAAGCATCGTCATTTGACAGGCCCAACTCCTTCATGTCCCTATGGACATTTGTCAACCAGGTAGTTTGTGGCCCGCCTCGTCCTCTTTTTGTTGTAGCCATGGAAAGGCACTTTCTCACAATGTGTTCAGGTTCACGCAGAATATGTCCATACCACCTAAGTCTACATTCTTTAAGCTTTTCAGTAATAGGTACCACTCCGAAGCTGCCCGAATAAAAATATAAATAATGTAAATTAATACGCCATCCATAACACAAGCTTTAGCTAGCTTAACTTAGGTCTAGATGGCGCTGTGTAAATTGTCCTGAGATTATTATTATATTATTTATTATTTATATTTGAGCATGAGGTTAAACCAGTTAACCCATCACGACGAAGTCGCCAAGAATTAACCACATTGTTTTCCAGCGGCGACCAAGTGGAGGTCGACATGACAGGTCAAATTGTTAAAAATAACAAGTCCCCATTACTATCCCCTCCTCCTTTCAATGTTTTATGTTATGGATGAAAACGGAATGGTACACCCGCCTGCGCTGACGGTTTACGCTGGCGGGGCATCAGTGGAGGATGACAAGATGAACATGAGGTCAGGTCAGTTAGCCAATCATGACGAATTCACCAAGAATTTATCACGATGGTTTCCAGGGGGAACCGCGTGGAGGTCAACCTGACATGGTACATTGCTAGCAATAACATCAGTCCACATTACAATCCCCTTTCCCCCTCCTTTCAATGTTAAGTCTATCTGCTTAATCCCCGCTTACAAATTGTGTAATACAAGCATGTTATCATGATACAATGTTATCAGAGTAGGGACAATATAATCCTCTTACAAAACTAATTTCTGAATGTCGACCACGTGTGTTTCGTAATTAAAAACGAGCAGCAGTGAATGTGTAATAGAAATAGAAATCTTTTATTCAAATAAACTTAATATTACTTACAATATAAATAATCTTTATTCAAATAAACTTAAATATAAACACTTTTGAATAGTCATATTTCGTTTTCTACTATTCATTCGAAAAGCAGTTAAATATAGGGTATAGCCTTCCTTAATAAATGTGCTATCTAATATTATAAGAATTTTTAAAATAGGAACAGTAGTACCGGAGATTATCCCGCACAATCAAACTTACAAACTTTACGTCTTTATAACATTGGTATAGATAGCTGCGATTTCGACCGTGAAAATTTAACTTTTTTTTATTACAATTAACAACATTTCTAAAATTAAATTGGTCTCAGTTAATTCTTACAACATTAGCATTATCTGTGAGTGAAAACTCCGTCAAAATCCGTCCAGCCATTTCAGAGATTAAATAGAATAAACAAACAGACAAATTTGTTTTAACAAAAAACAGATAGTGAAAAGCTGTTAATTTGTAATTACAAACTTTAATTTTATTTATTTGTATAGATTAATGCATATTTACTTCCTTCCTTTATTGCCCATTTGCTGCAGTACCAATACTGATAGAGAAATTAACTCTACGTTTTATAAGAGTTGCCACCTGCCCTGTTCCAACGCATAATGCTTCTACAAAAAGAGCTTGCATAGTTTCATAAATAAACTGTTTTGTTTTAATTGAGGCGGGTTTGAGCATGCCAATAAAACCTTCAAAATGAATATATGCGAACAACTGGTTGCAAATATGGTGTGCTAAAAATATGATATCACAGTTTCGTACAAAAATTATATTGTTCCTAGTGACGTAAGCTTGGCGCCACCATAGTTTAACGTGTTTAGGCGGAGAATTTTTCATACAGAGATGATTCTTATACCATAATCCACAGTAGCACTGTTGCATTCAGTATTTACAAAGTAACTAGTACAACACTTGTAACGTACCTGGTTACAGGTACTTTGTAGTTCCTAGTTACAGAGTTGGTATCCATAATTACATGAGGCGTAGATAGAGAGTCTCGTGGGAACGAGTCAGCTATAATAAAATAACTATAATACATATCAGAATTTTAGGTGTAATATTTTCATCCAAGATAAAATGCAGTATATGGAACGAAATCTGCATAAAGTTAAGTAAAGCATATCTTTAAAAATATAAGGCTGAATGACAACTTCATATTTAGTGCGGTTATTCGAACGCAAATAGTACAGCAGCCTCTCCATTGTTTAGTGACCACCGGCCGGCCAAATGAGAAAAACCTCACATGGGATTGAGGAGATTAAGAAGAGAAATGAGGTAGTCGAGCCAAATCTTACACCTCACCAGAGATTGAAACAATCGAAAAATCATTAAAATCACGTCATTTACTTAATAGCCATCCCGTCATGTATTGGCTACAGTTGTTCAGGTATATGTAAGAGTACTCTAGTTTCATGAAGACTATAGTAACTATTAGTTACACAGGCACGGAACATGACGAGAAGTTTGCATGGATATGTTAATTGAACTGACTTCATGATCATATTGTCATCCTCCAAAAGTGAACAGCCTTTTGCCATCCTTAAAAAAAAAATTGTGCTCTGCGAATTGTCACTTCCAATTAGCTAGTAACATAACGACAGTGTAACGAGTACTTCGTTTCGTAACTAGTATGTACGACTACTCTATTTGTTACTCTTACAGCTGTACTCTATATCACATTGTCATGCCCTATTGACATAACCGCGAAAATTGGAAAACCATTTTCGCGGTCGCCGCCGGCCGGCATCCATTCGCCAGTCTCAGTTGTTGAACCGCGGTGTGAGCACGCGTGACTCGCGCACTGACGCCGTCATTCGGCATTCGAAACGTAAATAAAATTCGCGATTCGTTCGAAATTTAAAAAACTGTGTTGAAAGTGAATAAATATTGTGTGTGAATCGTACTGGCCACATAATAAAAAGGTATGTTTGTTTTTTTTATTAGGTTTTTAGATAACTTTCGTCATGATTTTGGTCAGGTATTTTATATTCAAATATGATAAGATGACGTAGGTAGGTAGAATGTGTTTGCAGATTGTAATGGTATTAATAAAACAGGTGCCGGTTAAAATGCGTCCCGCACTATGTAAATATTTTTGCACATTTGTGTTTGCGAAAATATATAAAACATTAAAAAAAATATTTTGTATGTTTCTGTAGGCATTTTAAAAATTATTTTCAAGGCATAAAATAATCTTTATTTGTGTTAATATTTTAGTTACAATATTATTAATTCGTATTAATATGGTGAATATTATTATTGTGGAAAATACTAAATATTAAACATAAGCAAATCATATTCTTGGATAAAAAAATAATCTTTTTTATATTATAATAGGCTAATTTTGAGATTATTTTCAAACAATTACATTTATAATGTATGTATACAATGACAAAATATTTTTTAAAGATACATATAGTTATAGATATATATGGCGCTTTGCTTTACTACTGAATGCACTACAGTCATCCCACATGGATTGCAATGTAGGCGTAAAGATGAAGTTAGTAAAGTAGAGCAAAGATAGAGCTTTATATGCAATCGGACGCAACACCGGACAATTTGACCACTTTGAATGGCGTTGAACTTTACAATTCTGATGATTCTTTTTGTCCATTACAATATACAGTGAAATAAATTTTATGTGAATAATAAAATAAATTTACACGCCTATATGTATTAAATAATGGGTAATTTTATAGAATCTTTTTGAATATGTACTCCTTTCTTTTTGAGCGGAAAAAAATAGAGCGCCAATCTATAATAATATTATATATTCTAAATAGTCTGTCTGTCTGTCTGTCAGTTTGATAACTTTTCTGAATTACACGACTGATCCTAATTAAATTTAACGAGAAATTAGATTGTATCAAGAGAACTGACTACAACGATGTAGTATTATATGTTTTTTTAAATAAATAAATAACCGTGGACAATTAACACAGCGCTATCTAGTCCCAAGCTAAGCAGAGCTTGTGTTATGGGTAGGTACTATACAACTGATATAAATAAGTACATAGATATTTCTTTTTGTAAATAAATAAGTTAAAATAAATTAAAGACCAATTAAGACATTAATTTTTAATTTTCATAAATCTTATTTGTTTAAATAAATGCTATATTGAAGTAAACGCTAAAGAAATGAAAGATTACTTACAAATCAAGTCAAATTATCGACAAATTTTGTTCTATTTTATGATACCGACTTATAGAATGTGGGAGTTTGCATATCCCATTGTTGTTTTATTTCTTTTTGGGGACCTTCAAGAGCTGATGTCATAGCCATGCCAAGCTTATAACAATTTAACATTTCTGAGAACAGTTAAATTTTACTTCACACAAATAAATGAAACAAAGTCAGTATGTTTTGTTTGAATGCCAAAAAATTTGTGTTCAAATTCAGTATTGGTTCTACTTTTTCGTCCAAAAGCCATATTTAATACTTAACACGAGTTTTAAATATGGATTTTGGATAATGAAGATTTTTCGCAACTAACCGGATGAATGGAACTTAATGAAATTTGGCGTAGAGATGGATAATATACTTTAATGCACATAATTTCAAAGTACATATGGGCGTACTTAGCATAGTTGCGTAGTTTAAAAAATCTAAGCGTACAGACATCGGAAACGACTCCGTTTTATACTATACTAACTACTGACCCAGCTTCGCACGAGTACTTCGCACGCACATGTATTATATATATACTCGTAAAGTTTCCTCTTGAATCACTCATCTACTAAAAAAACCGCTTCAAAATCCGTTGCGTAGTTTTAAAGATTTAAACATACATAGGGACAGACAGCGACAGACAATTTTGTTTTATACTATGTAATGATAAAGTTTACATTTATTTTCATATAAAATTTACATTGTATTGAAATTCATTCATAGTAATTATATTACTTGATACAATAATTATAATGTAATTACGGTCAAACAATTTAAATTTATTTGATATCGCTATAGAGAAATAGAATAAATAGTAATTTTCGTATTAAGTTTTTTCAACTGTCTGCTTGGAACTCAAGACCTATGGAGATGCAATCGGTAGAGTAAACCACTGAGGCACAACGGGCACCGCGATATTGCTGTAAATAAATAAAATTAATGTAACAAATGCATTAAAACTAGATGAAACTCCGACTTAACATTATTATTTGGCTGTCGCACAAGAATTCATTGCATCATATGTATGCAGTGCATGTAACGCAATGACAAACGACCACTAAGTGCAGTAAAATGGTGAAAATAAATACCACTAATACCACAAACGAAGTAATAGCTCTTGTGATATTCTAGAACATTCTCGAATATTCTTTTATGAAAATTGATAATCGTTTTTGGAGTATAATGCTTAGTGGTCGCCAGTATTCGAAATTTGAACCTAATTAATTTAAATTTTAAGCTTGAACATTATTAAGGTTCTATTGTTAAAAACTATACTTCTATAATCACAGACACTGGCAGTTTTAAAAGCAAAAAAATAAAGAATATACATGCGTGTGCGTGTGTTTAATATATGGTAGTGTGAGTAATGTTTTTTTCATTAGTCGCCAATATTCGAAATTCGAACATAATTAATTTAAAGTATAAGTTTGATCATTATTAAGGTTTTATAGTAAAAATACTTCTAATACCACAGGCACTGGCAGTTTCACAGGCAATAAAGAAAAGAGTATATACGTGTGTGTGTGTGTTATACATATATATGGTAGTGTGAGAAATATTTTTTCATTAGTCTCCAATATTCGAAATTCCAACATAATTAATTTAAATTACAAGTTTGAACATTATTAAGGTACTAGTGACAAGATACTATACTTGTATAATCACAGGCACTGGCAATTGCACAGCCAATAAAGAAAACAGTATATATGCATATGTGTGAGTGTTACATACATAGTAATGTGTACTGTGTAATGTGTTTTTTCATTAGTCTGCAATATTCGAAAATCGAACATAATTAATTTCAAAGACGATATTTCTATTAGTAGTGTGTATAATGATTTGTTTTCATTGATTTATTCTATTTTTCATGCATAATTTAAGTCTCCCTGTCTATTTGTTACTTACCTTTTCACGGCTATGGTAAAAGTCCACAATCAGATGGAACGTATGCTTGTTTGCCACCATCATAGTATATAAAAAACGGCATGATGGGTCTTATTGATATTTAATATGAAGTTAGATGGTAGGTACCATGAGAATAACCATAGGTTATCTTGTACAATTTCAGATATTTGTACAATAGTCAGAATAAAACAAATAATATACAATAATATTTATTGCATTTTTTATACTAAACTATCATACTTATACTAAAGTATTAATGAATCATTGATTTATAAAAAAAAGAAAGCCACTATTCATTGTATGTTAACGTTTAAAATTAATTAATGTAATTCAATTGAGGATACTACTTAAAACAAACAAGGTACAGTACATCTGCATTTTTTATCACATCCGTAAATGGTCAATATTATAAACATGCTCTTTTAACCCCTATCAGAGATTAATATTTAAAAATAAAACACGGTAACGTGTACGAAAGTACGTCTTTTATTTTTAAGTAAGTGCACGGGAAAAATGGCAAAAAACATGCCATTTGAGCCAGAAAGCAGACATCAGACAGCTTCAAATACCTCAGTCTCATCTACATCAGCCGCTAAGCAGTATTAAAAGCTGTTTCTGTTCTATGATGAGATTAGCCAGTGAAATTACACGATAAGAAGCTATTCTAATGCTATTGTAGTTAAGCTATTATTTACAGCTTCACCGAATGATAAGGGGCGAGTGCAGATGGTACTCCAAAGCCGCGGAAGGAGTTATGGAGTGATCGATCGTCTACTCCTGCCTGGCGGATACGACTTTAGTCTGTTGACATCGCTAGGGGTTCGAACCTCGGCTCAGGCCGTCATAATTTCAATCCCCATTTGAATTGAACGGGGGATCGATCGGAAGATCATGATAATGTCATCTCCGCAGATCTGTTCATGTATATAGACTACAATTATAGCTTAGTAATTTCTTTATGTTATACTAACGAGCGACTTCGCACGGATGTATTACAAATCTTTCAATTTCTCGGCTTGTTATATACTATAACACGCGTGTGTTATACATATAAACCTCTATCTATTGCTGAAAATTGCATTAAAATCTGCTGCGCACGACAAACCAGAGAGGGCACAAGGAGACAACATTTTGAGAGTCAGCTGTCACCTACACTAGAGGTGGTGAAGCATAGTTCACACTACCAGTGCAATTATACAATAATAACTAACAATAATATATTACCATGCAATTATATAATAAGTTGCCTATAGATTTAAAAAGTTTATAATATACGGATGATATTAAACACAAACTAAAGGATTTTTTATTGAAGAAGTGTTATTATACAATTAATGAATTATAAAATAAGTGTAATACCATTATTACACTTATTTTATAATTCATTAATTGTATATTGCATGTCCATACATGACATTTAAATTTATTATTATGAAATTGACATTTTTCCTTATTAGACATGTATTTTAGACATATAATTAATTAATTAAAATTATGATATGTAATAAAATTCTATTGTGTTAAATTTTATTACATATCATAATTTTAATAATAAATTGTTATGAATACATGAAATTAAATGAAATGCGTAATTTGAAATACATAAGCGAACAGACAGCGGCGCGGCTTTAGTTTATACTATGTATAGATTAAATATGAGAGATTTTTATGTAAGAAATCTCTCCTCAACTCTCGTGATTCCTGAGGAATGTAACTAAACTACATATTAACATTATAAGCATGCATTTCGCAAGTCACATGACTAACTAAAATGTTTACCTATCTCTTCGTTTTGAATAATTCAAATCGAACCCAAGGAAATACTACTTTATATTACATCATGAT